CCCAATCTGCCCACCCAGGCTCAAAAAAAAATAGAAAAACACCGTGTGGGCCTTTAACCAACTCTCGCTTTTTTGGCCCAAACCAAATAATTCTGCATAATGACGCGACTTTGGCACAGTTTGCGTGTCTTTTAATGGCAGATGGGGGCACTGGTGACATGGTAATGTTTCATTACAGGGAATGCCAGCTAATTCCATTAACCAAGAGGCTTTCCCTGGGCAGCCAAATGTCCATAAGTAGGCGTGAGCTAACCGGGAACGCTAATGATCCTAAGGATGACATGAGAAATGGTGGGGGTCAGCTAAGTTTTTCGGAAAATAAAATGGAAATAACTCTGGCAGTGCAAAAGAAATAAGTTTCTTTCACAAGGAAAGAAAATAACTTTCCACAAAGTTTTGGGGTGACATAATTCATAATAAAAGATTTGTTTTTCTCGCTTAATTGAAATAAATTGACAAATTTGCCTGTTTTTCAATTACCATAATTTGAAGAATAAACAATTAAATGAAACTGTCGCTGGAAAAAAAATTAAAGAATCGTTTGCTCAAGAGATTATGAGTCTAATGTGCTATAAAAATATATATATACCCTACATTTCTTCCCAAAAATGGGTAAATGCTCTTCAGAAATTATTTTACAGTAGAGATTGCTTTAATAAAACCACTAAAAGTTGATGACAGTTCCATGGTAATTTAATAATAGATATTAATAACAAAAAATTGAAAATTGTATTATTATTATTATTTATGATACAGAATTTAAGTATATGGTCTCTGGAAACCTAATTTTGGACCCAAAGTCTCAACAGGTTAGGTACATTACAGTCCAAGTGTGCTATAAAAATAAATTCCTTCTGCAAAAATGGTTAAACGTTCCTCAGAAAATGTTTTACAGCAGACTTATTACTATAAAAAACCAATAAAAGCTGATGACAGTTCCAAGGTAATTTGCCAACCAAAGTGCGGAGAATTAATAGATCTGGACTTGATTAATTAAGCAGACATTTTGGCGCCATCGCCATAAGATCGAGGTCACTTGCTGGTGGAACATCTTGTTTAATGTATCTTGTCGGACTCTAATTAATTGATATATGGTTTCAGTAGTAGTCCCCACCCCTCTGTTTTTTTATTGACAATTTTTTGTCTTTTTTTTTGGGTAAGTGCAGCTCCCGCTGTGAATTCCGCCCACAAACAAGAGCAAGTTTTGCAATTTATGTGTTGGCTATATCTTTTTTTGTGCTGTCAGCCACGCCCACCGCCCACCGCCTAACGCCCACGTTCAATTCCCAGCTGAGACATAGAAATACGGGCTTCTGTACCCAGATCTAATGCATTTTTGAGGCGATAGCAGCAGGCAGTCTGCAGTCGGCTAATCTGCAAGACAAATGCATAAACAACATTGTAGAGACAAACAAAAGTGAAGTTTTGATAAATTTGCAACTGGAACTGAAGAACGAGTGAGGAAAATCAGTGGCCAATACCCGAGAAGCTGCCAGATAAAGTCAGCCCTTATAAACAGACTGTTGCTGCGGGCGCTTAAAGATACTTTATCTTGCAGATACTGATACCGATTATCACCACGAACCTTATCGCAGTTTCGCAACTTCCTATCTTTACAACTCTTAAAAGGCGTTATGATAAGACCTAAAAGTAGATACATATATATTTTCTACCCTTTTCCACCGGTCGTTAAATAATACTTTAGCACTAGCAGCGAAATTAATTAACCAACCTTTTGCATAACCCGCAAAGAAAGTCACATGAAATAAAAGTGAAATTGCCGGAGAGCAGGTAATGTATCTCTTAGCTGAGTCATTTGGGAAACTTTTTTATTTAGTTTAGTTAGCTTATTGTGTAACCTTAATCTAGGGAAAAATGATTTCTTTTATTTTCCATGAACAGTGCCAGTGAAATTGAATAGCTGGCACTCTGCCCACACATTATACAACTACAACGCGTGGCGACAACAAGTTGTTGACCAGCTGCTTCAAAAAAATATATAGAAATGTTATATGCATTCACTTAATAGCCGACAAGTGTTTAATTTGTTTGTTTTGGGTTTCGCCCGATTAATAAATAAATATAGCCAAAGTATATAGCTCATTTCGTGCCTTGCCCTGACCTCAAAACATCGAGGAAACTGGCTCGATGTTTTATTTTGTTTACCCAATGCATTTCTAGGTTGGACATGATTGGCTGAGTTGGTTTCTTTTTAAGTTATATTGCAGATTTATTGCCATTTTGTAGTAGTTGGTATCTAATCTAGGGCTCAGGTGAAATTCAAAAGACTGCTCGGCCATTTTCCCAAGATTTATGGCCGGGCCAACGTTAAACGCTTACTTTAACCACTTTGCCATGCAGACAGCTCCGATGGCCTGGCCAAAAATATTTATTATTTATGTTCTGACACAGACAGCAGCGGATGTATAGAGTCGAAGGTGTCCATTCATAGAATGCCAAACCCAAACAAACCGCACAAAGCGGCGTGAAAACGTGTTCAATGTTGGCCGAGACTGGCTGAGATTGTGCACCGAATGGCCTTTATTTATGGCTATTGGTAACCGGCAAATTCAATTAAACAGATATTATCTCAAACGGTTATTTATGCTCCAATTCGATTAAAGAGGTAAGGGGCTTATCTAGTGCTTTGCCTTAAAACTCCCCCAGCTTAATCCCGAAACTGAGGAAAACTTTGTTAAGTTTATAATATATACATGGTATAAAAAACGAATCTTAACTTTTGTTCTTATACAAATCAAAGAAAAAACTCAAAAATCATGTGGCACCAATAAAGCTTTTATGACAGAAGTCTAAATCTCTCAGGTTTCTAAGCCACTGAAGGTTAAACAAATTTTTGTTCTACTTATCAGTTTAATTAAGTAGTATATATAAAACAAAAAAAAGAATCTTAACTTTTTTTTTGTACAAAAAATCGGAAATTTTAACCTCTGTGACTTATAATTAAAATGGTTTTATTTCCTAGCTGTCAGTTGAATACATTTATATACTAAAATAGTAAACAAGAGCCTAAGCTTGTTCTAGTACAAATGTAACCAAAAACTCATAAGATTATTATTATATTTTATAAGCGTATGTCTAAATCTCTGATCTTCTAAGTCTCTAAATATTATAAAGATTTTATTTCATACCTGTTAGTTATTTAAGTGTAATAATATAATGTATATTAAAATAACTACATCACATTATCTTGTTGCTATACAAATCAAACCAAATTTAATAAGATCATGTGGCACCAATAAACTTTTTATGAGCGGAAGTCTAAATGTCTGGGGATTTTGAAGGCTCGAGAGATTATAGATTTTATTTCTAGCACATGTATCAGTTATTTTAATTTCACAATCGATTGACAGATTTTCCTTTGTCAGTTTTTTTGAGTACTTTGAAGTATCTTTTGTTATATCTAAGACACTTCTTTCGAATGACTAATTGACTAATGATGTGATTGATCACTGTAATGGAAGAATAAGTATTGTTTTCTATTTTCTAGATTTACTATTGATTATTTTTCCCGGTGCAGAACAAGTAATTTATTCGTAATGGAACCCCATACTTCAGCATAATCAACTGCCGTAAAGTAACTTTAATTTGACACCAACGGGGGGTGCGCGTATCTCGTGGATACCTGGATACCTGGTTACTTGGATAGTTGGCCATAAGCTCTGTCTGATTAATGTGCCATGTGCATAATGGAAAGGTGTGAAAAAGAGGTGCAAGTGTTCACTTATTAAGTAGCAATGTGAGGGGTACAATTTCCAAGAACCGCTTGTACCAATTGATTTTTCTGGCTTATAACAACGGTTGTAAGTTGAATTCCGGTAAATATTTATGCTGGCCATTTCTGCTGACATTTTTATGACTCAAGCACTGGACTCCTGGATGTTTTTCCCTTGTTTTCCACTCGACTCCAGTGCGGAAAAGTGATTGACGGACAATTAACAACCCGACCAGCCTTTTGAAGTGGTCAAAGATAAATGGAGCAGTGTGAAATGGGAGGTCTGTCTTTAATAAACAAATTGGGCACAGCACACTGGGCAATTGCAGTGGCCCAATTGGAGGCAATGAATTATGGGCCTTTGATTCGATCGGAACTTCTGTATCCTGAGTCATGTTGGGTGAAATGTATCAACAGTTTTCGGTTTGGTCAAGACATCGAATGGAAGAACCGGTTTAAGAAGTTCGCTATATAGATATCACCATACATACTCCACAAACTCAGCTGGCCAGGTTAAACAAAAGAAAGGTGAACTCTTCCTATTTTTGTACAATTTTGTGGAACAACAGAATGAGTAATAGGTAAATCTTAGGTTTACCAATATTTCATAGTCTTACGCAGTCTACCGTTTTACCGCATCAGCTTGGCAACAACAAACAACGTGGAGATATAACAATTACAGTCACGATCGTCGATGAATCACGATTTTGAATACCTTACTCCGGTGTTTGTAGTCTCGTTTACTTGGAATGCCGTTGACGTATACGCACATATTTGTATACCCAACACTTATCAATGAAAAAAACACCAGGCTTTGATAATACCACGCACACAAACACACACTGCTAAAAAGGTCAGCGATAATAGATAGGAAACATATATTGATTATACATAAATAGGATTATGCTATATATGCACAGTGACTTTTTTGGGGGTTCTTGAAATTGCATTGAGTTGAGCAATTCGATTTTGGGGATTACAATTCAATATCACTCGGAACTCTTGTCAAACACCTGTTGCTGTATTTGTACTCGAAGTCGTAAGCTTATTGGGGTTCCGTATCTGTGTTTGTTTTTATACTTTTGCCAAGGTGTGGGTTCTCGTTCTCTCTCATCGATAACTAAACTTTCGAGTGCGGATTCATTTTCTTAGCACCTTTGATGCATCACTTATTTGTATATATATACGATACGGCACGATTTGGTTTCGGTTTTCGTTTTCGTTTAGATATCATACGATATTATATGTTTTAAACTTCCAAAATTACCGCTTACGTTGTGGATTTTTGTTTAACACTTCTTGCGTGGGGGACTTTTATATTGGCGACTGTTAAAAAAATTCAGCAAATATACTGCGTCGTCGGCAAAGTTTGAACAGTTTGCCACCGAACCGAACGAGTTGAAAGCCCGCGATATAATATTATTCCGCTCTGACGTCTGAACAGCTCGAAAAGTTAACGCGAACTAAATAACGAGCTAAAAATTGAATGGAGTCACGCTGCCGAACGGCGATGCCATATCGCTTAGAAAACGTTCCATGCGGCCGGACTGTTTGAAAAAGATGCCGCCAGTGATGCCGAGATTTTCGGCTGCCATACTAAATTTTGGATCGGTTGAGTTCTTAGATTAAAATGGGTTTAGTAATTTTAAGTACTTTTCCTAAATATTCATAAAATTATCAGTTCAGTAAAGAAAATTTTACATAGACTGTAATAGCACAGAAAGTCAATATCGTTTGAAAAAATAATTTACAGCACTCCAAAATTTTTGGAACATTATTAAAATTCTATGATTCGGCGGGAATACAAACATTTTAAAATTATTTTAAAGATATTATATTCACTTAGAATTCTTTATGTTTACAAAAAATTTTCATTCTCTCGTATTGTTTTTAAGTCATTATAGAGATTCTCATTTGATTAGTACTTAGAGAGTACTGAAATAGAAACTGAAAAAATTTTCCTGAAGTGTGATTTCTTTGACCATTATATTTGATACATCCATAAGAAATCAATTTACACGTCAAGAGAAAATAATTACATAATTCTTATTTAAGAAAAAATAACTTGACTTTAGGAAAAATGCCATACCTTTACGTTTAAAGACCTATCGAAAAAATGATTGAATTATGAATCCGACTGAACCAATCGCGTTATAAAACTAGAAGGCGAATCTAATTTGATTATTGTACACCGTATATATAAGAGACATTTCTAAAAAAAGTGTTCACTTGTGAACCACTTTCTAAATGAAGTTCTTATGTAAGTAGCAAATTTTCTCCGTTTAAAAATCTAATTAATTTTCCCACAGGTCTGATATTATTGGCCACGTCAGTGGCTGGCCGATTCACTGATGATTTGTACCAACTTTTGGCCAAAGACAATGCCAACAAGAATCTTATTTCGTCTCCTCTTTCCGTGGATATTGCCTTGAGTATGGTCTACATGGCAGCTGGGGGAAAGACAGAACAAGAAATGAAGGATGTTTTGAAATTGCCCTCGGATAAAAAGGAAGTGGCTCGTAAATACAAGGAATTTCTGACAAGTCTCGAAGGTCGCGAGAAGGTGGCTATCCTCGATATAGCCAACCGAATATACGTAACTAATGGCTTCACTATAGTTCCGGAGTTCAATCAAGTGGTCAAAGGCTCCTTTAAGGCCGAAGCGGAGGCTATCAGCATAAGTGATCCTAGTAAAGCCGCCTCGATCGTCAATAAGTGGGTGAACGATCAGACGCGCAGCAGGATCAAAACCATTGTTACGGATAAAGATATAACCTCGGATCTGGTAATGATTCTCTTGAATGCCATTTACTTCAAAGGTCAATGGCAGTACGAATTCGACCCTAAAAGGACCAAACAGGCCGATTTTCGAACTATCGACAAAAAAACCGTCCCTGTCCAGATGATGTCGCTATCGGGCGCATTTAAGGCGGGATATATTCACGACCTGGATGCCAAAGTGATTGAGCTTCCTTATCGGAACTCAAGCCTCTCCATGGTCATCTTTTTGCCTGAGAAAGACGATGGATTGCCAGAATTGGAGAAAAAGATCGCAGGCTTCTCCCAACGGCTTCGAGAGGTGAATGTGAACTTAAAGCTGCCGAAGTTTAAAATCGAACTCACTTCAGAGCTAGGGAATATTCTCCAGACGGTGAGTATGACCTGATTTGTATAAGGTCACTTTCATAATTTAAACCTACAGATGGGCATACGAGATGCATTTAGTCAAAGTGCGGATTTTAAGGGTCTAGTAGGAAAGAATGGAGTCAAAATCAGCAAAGTCAGGCACAAGGCCTTCATTGAGGTTAACGAAGAGGGCGCCGAGGCAGCTGCTGTTACAGGTACTATTGGTTTGTTTAGTGGATCACTTTCTTTACAAATATCATATATTTCGCAGCTGTCTTGGTGGTTGCGCTTTGCGGGCGTTGCAGGCCCCCGCCTCCTTTGGAGTTTAATGCCGATCATCCGTTTGCCTACGTCATTCGCGATGCAAACACCATTTACTTTCAGGGACACTTCGTAAAACCAGAATAATAAAGTAAATTAGAGGAGACGCAAAGAGTGCTTACTCCATTCAACAATTTATAAATATAAGAAAGACTTTCCATTCCTTTAAAAAAAGTTACCTTATTGCTAAAAGCGAGATATTTTTGAAAACTTTCGCGGCCGAAAAATTAAGATATATTTGGCTAATGACAAACGAGATAAACTCAGATTTGTAGCTATTCCCGGAACTGCAGCGCTTCCAATTAAATCCTAACTCTGCCCAAGACGACCTTCGATGAACAGCCTCCTCACCTTAACTACACTACCTTCGGTACTCTCAGTTTAACCCTAGGATTTAAATGTTTCAGAAGTATTATTGTAAGCCAATGGAGTTGTGGAGTGATTCAATTGAATACGCTGATAAGTAAGGAGAAGTTACTTAAAACGCCACGAAGTTTTCATTTAATACTTATGAGAACAAGGTTTGTAAACGGATTCAGTACTAGATGTTACCCTGGGATGGTGTAAAACTATGTTAAAGCTTTAAATGTAATATTTTATTATTTAAAATTGTTTTTTTCATGCTATGTTGCGTTGATAATTGTGAATTCTCTGCAATTAGACAATTCATATAGAGGGGCCGAGCGCAGGAGTAAGATTAAACTAGATTTTGGGTGATTCGATCACAAGATCTATCGGTTTCCAATCTTCCAGCCAGGAACAGCAGCTGCCTGGTGAAGAACGGACTTGTAGAGGACCTCGTCGAGTCTACTACACCTTCCACCGAGTGATATTCGATTGCATCCAAGTAGTCGTGTTCCAAGGTTTGAGGCTCCCGCAGAAAGGACAATGAGAAGGGCGATCCACCAACGGAGTAAAAAACTGAAACTCCAAGAATGTCCACCAACATCGAGGATGAAAGACTCTTTTAATGGTTAAACTCAATTATCTTAGATTTAATAAAAAAGTCAGCATGGTCTAAAATAAACCATTAATATAGTTTTTCGATATTTTATTCGGACGGCAGGAAGGATATAAAAAGATTGATGTACTAGATATATTTTATAGGAAGGAAATCGGTTTATTCTAGGTGTTACATGTTTTTTTAAAAACATAATATCACCTGTACTTCTTGAACCTTTTCAAATTTCAAGCAAAACCAAATTTTAAAGTCGATAACAAATCATTTGGACATTAAAGAAAATCAAGGAAGAACGGTTTAGTCAAGTAACTCGACTATCAGATATCCGTTACTCAGCCAATGGGATCAAAGGGAAATGGAGATATGCAAGCAGCAAATCGAGATTGATATGCGCCACCTACCGGTGGTAGACAGATTTAAGCGTTATGGGCGTTAGAGTGGGCGTGGCATTTTTTTTTTGGATTAATCGATAGGTATTGAGAAGAACAATACACTTCAGTTAACATTTTTATTCTAGCATCAAAACTGTAGGAGCCACAGTTTTGGGCGGATTGTGGGCGTTAGAGTGGGCGTGGCACTCTGCTGAAACAAACTTGCGCTGCGCAGGAATCTCAGGAATCTGCATGCCTAATCCCAGTATTATAGCTTGTATATCTTGTATGATCTTGATCAAGAATATATATACTTTATGGGGTCGGAAACGCTTCCTTCTGCATGTTACATACTTTTCAACGAATCTAGTATACCCTTTTACTCGACGAGTAACGGGTATAATGATAGTCTTTCATTTTAGGAAATAAATAGTTTTCTAAAGGGATAATATTTGTTCACCACTTTTGCTTTTTTTACAAATTCTTTAGAGTAAAGTCCATTAAGTAATCCGTTTTAACTAATTTAATTATAGTCCTCTTATAGTGCAAATCGAATTTGATTAGTACACATGGTATATATAGGCTGTATCTTCCATTAGTTTTGAAAAGCAGTGCAAATGAAGTTTCTATGTAAGTAAAAAAAAACGTTCTTTTAAAACTTTATTTAAAATATATTTTTCACAGATCTTATATTTTTGGCCACGTCAGTTGCTGGCCGATTCACTGATGATTTGTACCAACTTTTGGCCAAAGACAATGCCAACAAGAATCTTATTTCGTCGCCTCTCTCCGTCGATATTGCCTTGAGTATGGTCTACATGGCAGCTGGGGGAAAGACAGAACAAGAAATGAAGGACGTTTTGAAACATCCAGCGGATAAAAAGGAAGTGGCTCGAAAATATAAGGAATTTCTGACAAACCTCGAAGGTCGCGAGAAGGTGGCCATCCTCGATCTGGCCAACCGTATATACGTAAATAATGGCTTCACTATAGTTCCGGAGTTCAATCAAGTGGTCAAGGGCTCCTTTAAGGCCGAAGCGGAGGCTATCAGCATAAGCGATCCTGATAAAGCCGCTTTGATTATCAATAAGTGGGTGAACGATAGAACGCGCAGCAGGATCAAAACCATTGTTACGGATAAAGATATATCTCCGGATCTGGTAATGATTCTCTTGAACGCTATTTACTTCAAAGGTCAGTGGCAGTACGAATTCGACCCTAAAAGGACCAAACAGGCTGACTTTCGAACTGCCGACAAAAAAACCGTTCCTGTCCAGATGATGTCGATATCGGGCGCATTTAAGGCGGGATATATTCACGACCTGGATGCCAAAGTGATTGAGCTTCCTTATCGGAACTCAAGCCTCTCCATGGTCATCTATTTGCCGGAAAAAGTCGATGGTTTGCCAGAATTGGAGAAAAAGATCGCAGGCTTCTCCCGACGGCTTCCAAAGGTGAATGTGAACTTAAAACTGCCGAAGTTTAACATCGAACTCACTTCAGAGCTAGGGAATATTCTCCAGACGGTGGGTATGACCTGATTTGTAAGAGGCCACTTTTATAATTTAAACCTACAGATGGGCATACGAGATGCATTTAGTCCCAGTGCGGATTTTAGGGGTCTAGTAGGAAAGAATGGAGTCAAAATCAGCAAAGTCAGGCACAAGGCCTTCATTGAGGTTAACGAAGAGGGCGCCGAGGCAGCAGCTATTACAGGTACTACTGCTTTGTTTAGTGGATTACATTCACTACAAATATCATCTATTTCGCAGCTGTCATAATGGTTTTGAAATGCTCATGGTGCGTGCCCCCGTTTCCTTTGGACATTAACGCCGATCATCCATTTGCCTACGTCATTCGCGATGAGAACACCATTTACTTTCAGGGACACTTTGTAAAACCAGAAAAATAAAGTAAGTGACAGGAGACGCAAAGAATGCTTACTCCATTAACCAACCTATAAGTATAAAGACTTTTCTTCCATTAAAATATGTGAGCTTATTGCTAAGAGCGAGATATTGTTGGAAATTTTTGGGGCCGATAAATGAAGACATGTATCTGTTTTGACGAACGAGAAAAACTCCGATTTGTATCTATTTCCGGACCTGCTGTAACTGTAGCGCTTCCAATCAAATCCTAACTCTGCCCAAGACGACCTTCGATGAACAGCTTCGGTACTCTCGGATTAACCCTTGGTTTTAAATGTTTCAGAAGTATTATTGTAAGCCAAAGGAGTTGTGGAGTGGTACAATTGTATGTACTGATATATAAGGAGAAGCTACTTAAAAAGCCACAAAATATTCATTGAATACTTATGAGAACAACCTTTGTAATAGGATTCAATACTAGATGTTACCCTGGGAATGTGTAAAACAATTTTAAACAGATTTCGGAACTACAGCTATGGTCCCAGCTAAATTGATCTGGATAATGGTTAAACTTATATTAGATTTAATAAAAAAGTCAGCATGGTCTATAATAAACTATTAATATAGTTTTTCGATATTTTATTCGGATGGCAGGAAGGATACAAAAAGATTGATGTACTGTTACGTACGCCCTCCACATAGAAAGATTCACATAGAGAAGCAACGACGAATCTTTAGCCAGGGGGAGGGGTGCATGTAACTAACCAGACTCATACTGGTAAAGGCAGAAGAAAAAGCAATTCGGCAATTCTCGGGTGTCGCGTGGTCAGAACAACGGCCACTGTCAACCTATTGGTAACCATACTCCGGTAGCTGGCAAAGGGCAACAGCCGGCCGTTGACTCCCAAGATAGCAGATATCAAGAAACAGTAATTCTAGGTGGGAACACCTAGTTTATCCGATCCATACCCGCAGCCAAGTAAAAGCTCTAGTCTGGTATAAAAGACCTTAGACAAATAAAGAAAGAGAGAGAATCCATTTGGTTGTCTTGCTGACGGAAGCCGGCAGCTTCGAGGGAAGGCGACTTTCCCTGGGGCAGTCGTCCATGGAGTCTTCTGCCACCAGGACCAGCCACCATATCCAACAATCCTTGAGGAGAACACAATTGCAGCTCGAAATAATCTTGTGTCGAACCAACGCCGCTATTGCCATCAGAGAACGTGGAGATCAACAATAAGGACGACATCCGACATACTGCGATGTTTGTGGACGCAGTATCCGTGATCTCCATGCTCCTGAAATTTGTTCAGCTGTAGGAACCATCCGTTCAGAGCGTAGCGACCAATAGCATACGTCGGAGAAAATAGTGATGCAATATAAATGTGTTAATCGAGCCAACCAAAGCTAAAGTGAACTCATGCATAACCAAGGACCAATATCCTCAAATAATACAATTGGATAACAAGTGAAAATCAAGCATTCAAACATGCATTGAAATATATTTAAACCAACCGAATCAATAGACAAAGTGCGAATCATGATAAACAATTAGAGAGGACGAATCTCTCCACCAGCCGTTGAAGAAGTCGCATGCCTGTAGCATAATATATAGTATATATATTTTGTGTTTAAGTGAATTGATATACTTAAGAACAGCCGTATTTTGGTGCACGTATATTTATATATATATATCCAACATAATATTTTCCCAAAGCCCAGGATCCGGAGCGTCGAGATCTCATCGCCCAGGATTTAAAGAGGGGGTAAGTTTGTCGGGACACGGTTCCTTTCTTATAAACATACATATATAAATATTCGTGCAGTATCCTACAGTTTTATAGGCTACTATAAACTTTTGCAGCGGCGAGTATCAGCCTTGTAATTGTATGACAATTGCAAGAGCCCTCTGAGCGACGTTTGTAGTCGTGAATAGTCAGTATTTTGCTGATGTGTGCACCTTCATAGGTGATAAATTCGATACTCTCCGCTAACAGAATAATTGTCAATTAAATTAGATTAATCAACAGACGCAGATATATATTACCTAATAAATTTATAATGTGAAAAAGAATTGAAAACCATGGTGTGCTAGAACTATAACAAAGGGGGGTGTGCTGACGCGAGGAGTGAAGTAGGTCAAGAACAATGACATAACTTTCGACGGACAACCTTGACAATAGGGGATCGTATTGCGCGGCCCGCGACGATCCATTGGCACACGAATGTGTGAAGGGGAGGGAATATGGCCAAAACACAGCCCGATCGTATTGCGATCAAGCGACAGCTAAGCTTGCTGGGCAGTGTGGACTGATGACTGACGAACTTTGTGACTAATATTATTTTCCAGGCACTTTTACTATTTATTCTCGTTATGTTGGAGAGGAGAGAGGCTTACCAAGATCCCACGACCCGAATACGACGTAGCTTATGCCGGCAAATGGTGCCTGAACATCGGACGCCTCTCCCTTGGCCCAAGTCCTTGTCAGGACTCGGGCACTAATACGCCCACGTAACAGTACTACATAAAGTTTAAAGGAACGAAATCGATTTCATTTAGCTGTTACATGTTTTTTATAAACATAATATCACCTGTACTTAACGGGTGTTCCGAAATCTTGTTGAACCTTTTCAAATTTCAAGCACAACCAAATTTTAAAGTCGATAACAAATCAATTGGACATTAAAGAAAAACAAGGTACCACGCTATAGTCCAGTAACTCGACTATCAGATACCCGTTACTCAGCCAATGGGGCCAAAGGGAAATGGAGATATGCAAGCAGCAAAGCGAGATTGATATGCGCCACCTACCGGCGGTAGACATGTTTAAGCGTTATGGGCGTTAGAGTGGGCGTGCAAAATTTTTTTGGATCAATCGGTTTGTGGGCGTTAGAGTGGGCGTGGGACTCTGCTGAAACAAACTTGCGCTGCGCAGGAATCTCAGGAATCTGCATGCCTAATCCCAGTATTATAGCTTGTATAGTTTCCGAGATCTCAGCGTTCATACGGACAGACGGACAGACGGAAAGACGGACATGGCTAGATCGTCTCGGCTAGTGATCTTGATCAAGAATATATATACTTTATGGGGTCGGAAACGCTTCCTTCTGCCTGTTACATACTTTCCAACTAATCTAGTATACCCTTTTACTCTACGAGTAACGGGTATAATGATAGTCTTTCATTTTAGGAAATAAATAGTTTTCTAAAGGGATAATATTTGTTCACCACTTTTGCTTTTTTTACAAATTCTTTAGAGTAAAGTCCATTAAGTAATCCGTTTTAACTAATTTAATTATAGTCCTCTTATAGTGCAAATCGAATTTGATTAGTACACATGGTATATATAGGCTGTATCTTCCATTAGTTTTGAAAAGCAGTGCAAATGAAGTTTCTATGTAAGTAAAAAAAACGTTCTTTAAAAACTTTAATTAAAATATATTTTTCACAGATCTGATATTTTTGGCCACGTCAGTGGCTGGCCGATTCACTGATGATTTGTACCAACTTTTGGCCAAAGACAATGCCAACAAGAATCTTATTTCTTCGCCTCTTTCCGTCGATATTGCCTTGAGTATGGTCTACATGGCAGCTGGGGGAAAGACAGCCCAAGAAATGAGGAGCGTTTTGAAACATCCCACGGATAAAAAGGAAGTGGCTCGAAAATATAAGGATTTTCTGACAAATCTCGAAGGTCGCGAGAAGGTGGCCATTCTCGATCTGGCCAACCGTATATACGTAAACGGGCGCTATACTATAGTGTCGGAGTTCAATCAAGTGGTCAAGGACTCCTTTAAGGCCGAAGCGGAGGCTATCAGCATAAGTGATGCTAGTAAAGCCGCCTCGATCGTCAATAAGTGGGTAAACGATCAGACGCGCAGCAGGATCAAAACCATTGTTTCGGAAGAAGATATAACCTCGGATCTGGTAATGATTCTCTTGAATGCCATTTACTTCAAAGGTCAGTGGCAGTACGAATTCGACCCTAAAAAGACCAAGCAGGCCGATTTTCGAACTATCGACAAAAAAACCGTTCCTGTCCAGATGATGTCGCTATCGGGCGCATTTAAGGCGGGATATAATCACGACCTGGATGCCAAAGTGATTGAGCTTCCTTATCGGAACTCAAGCCTCTCCATGGTCATCTTTTTGCCTGAGAAAGACGATGGTTTGCCAGAATTGGAGAAAAAGATCATAGGCTTCTCCCAACGGCTTCGAAAGGTGAATGTGAACTTAAAGCTGCCGAAGTTTAAAATCGAACTCACTTCAGAGCTAGGGAATATTCTCCAGACGGTGGGTATGACCTGATTTGTATGAGGTCACTTTCATAATTTAAACGTACAGATGGGCATACGAGATGCATTTAGTCAAAGTGCGGATTTTAAGGGTCTAGTAGGAAAGAATGGAGTCAAAATCAGCAAAGTCAGGCACAAGGCCTCCATTGAGGTTAACGAAGAGGGCGCCGAGGCAGCAGCTGTTACAGGTACTATTGGTTTGTTTAGTGGATGTAATCCTACTACAAATATCATCTATTTCGCAGCTGTCATAATCGTTTCGAGATGCGCAAGTTGCAAGCGCCCGGGTCCTTTGGAGTTTAATGCCGATCATCCGTTTGCCTACGTCATTCGCGATGAGAACACCATTTACTTTCAGGGACACTTCGTAAAACCAGAAAAATAAAGTAAATGAGAGGAGACGCAAAGAGTGCTTACTCCGTTAAACAATTTATAAATATGAAGACTTTCCTTTCCCTAAAAAAAGTGATAAGTGAAGACATAATGTCTCTGTTTTGACGAACGAGATTTGTATCTATCCCCGAAACTGCTGTAGCTGTAGGGTTTCCAATCAAATCCTAACTCTGCCCACGACTTCCAAGGCTTCCTTACCTTAACTACACTACCTTCGGTACTCTTATCGGATTAACCCTAGGATTTGTGGAAATGTAAAATTGTATACACTGATATGTAAGAAGAAGTTACTTAAATAGCTACGAAGTTTTCTTATGAGAACAACCTTTATAAAAGGATTCAATACTAGATGTTACCCTGGGAAGGTGTAAAACTATTTTAGAACTTAAAATGTAATATTTTATTATTTAAATTGTAATTTTCATGCTAGGTTGCGCTGTTAATTGTTATTCTCTGCAGGTTGGTTTTCAACTTAGTTACGATCCATCTGATGACCCGTCATGAAGGTATACCTTTTGTTGGTAGCCGTTGCAGTCAGTCTCGTTCTCATAGAAAGTGCCAAGCGCAGAAGTAAGATTTAACTAGATTTTGGGTGATTCTATCACAAGATCTATTGGTTTCCGATCTTCCAGCCAGGAACAGCAGCTGCCTGGTGAAGAACAAGTACATGCACGAACGGACTTGTAGAGGACCTCGTCGAGTCTATTACACCTTCCACCGAGTGCTATTCGATTGCATCCAGGTAGCCGTGCTCCAAGATTTGATCAAGACCACTATTCATCAAGCTCTCGACTCTTTAAGGTGACGACCAAGTGCCGGCAGATCTACAGGAGAAACGAGTACAAAACCCTAAAGCTATGCCAAGATGACTGCGCCTACCACATGGTCGAACCATATGCACCACCGATCGGAAAACAGACCACTTCTGCAGCTGGGGAAGGGTCAACCACGGGAGAAGGGGCAGAAGAAGGGGCCACAGAGGCAGGGGAGGGAGGAGAGGGAGGGGAGGCTCCCGCAGAAAGGACAATGAGAAGAAGGGCCAAGCTGCACCATCTGAAGAACCACCAACGGAGTAGAAAACTGAAACACTAAGAATCTCCACCAACAGCGAGGATGAATAACTCTATCAAACAGATTTCGGAACTACAGCTGTGACCCCAGCTAAATTGACTTGGATAATGGTAATAATTATTTTAGACTTAATAAAAAAGTCAGCATGGTCTGAATTAAACCCTTAATACAGTTTTTCGTTATTTTATTCGGCAAAAGGGATATAAAAAGATTGACAAAATAGATAGATAGTTTATAGGGACGAAAACGATTAATTCTAGCTGTTACATGTTTTTTTTATCAACATAATATAACCTGTACTTAACGAGTATTCCGAAATCTTCTTAAACCTTCTTAAATTTCAAGAAAAAACAATTTTTAAAGTCGATAACAAATCGATTGGACATTTTCTAAAGGGATAATATTTGTTCACCACTTTTGCTTTTCTTAAAAATTCTTTAGAGTTAAGTCCATTAAGTAATCCTCTTCGGACTTAACTTAACTAATTAAGTTACAATCCTCGATGGCAAATCTAATTTGATCAGTACACATGGTATATATAGGCTGTATCTTCCACTAGTTTTGAACAGCGGTCCAAATGAAGTTTATATGTAAGTGAAAAAAATAACGTCCTTTAAAAACTTTAGTTAAAATATATTTTTTACAGATCTGATATTTTTGGCCACGTCAGTGGCTGGCCGATTCACTGATGATTTGTACCAACTTTTGGCCAAAGACAATGCCAACAAGAATCTTATTTCTTCGCCTCTTTCCGTCGATATTGCCTTGAGTATGGCCTACATGGCAGCTGGCGGAAAGACAGCCCAAGAAATGAGGAGCGTCTTGAAACTGCCTGCGGATAAAAAGGAAGTGGCTCGTAAATACAAGCAATTTCTGACAAGTCTCGAAGGTCGCGAGAAGGTGGCTATCCTCGATATAGCCAACCGAATATACGTAACTAATGGCTTCACTATAGTTCCGGAGTTTAATCAAGTGGTCAAAGGCTCCTTTAAGGCCGAAGCGGAGGCTATCAGCATAAGTGATCCAAGTAAAGCCGCTTCGATCGTCAATAAGTGGGTAAACGATCAGACGCGCAGCAGGATCAAAACCATTGTTACGGATAAAGATATAACCTCGGATCTGGTTATGATTCTCCTGAATGCAATTTACTTCAAAGGTCAGTGGCAGTACGAATTCGACCCTAAAAAGACCAAGCAGTCCGATTTTCGAACTGTCGACAAAAAAACCGTCCCTGTCCAGATGATGTCGCTATCGGGCGCATTTAAGGCGGGATATAGTCACGACCTGGATGCCAAAGTGATAGAGCTTCCTTATCGGAACTCAAGCCTCTCCATGGTTATCTTTTTGCCGGAAAAACTCGATGGCTTGCAGGAATTGGATCAGAAAATCGCAGGCTTCTCCATAGAGTTTCCAGAAAGGAATGTGCATTTAAAGTTGCCAAAGTTCAAAATCGAATTTTCCTCAGAGCTAAAGGGTATTCTTGCGACGGTGGGTAAGACCTGATTTTCATGGGGTCACTTTTATAATTTACACTTTTAGATGGGCATACGAGATGCATTTACTAGTGCTGCTGATCTTGGAGGTCTGGTTAAGTCTTCAGGAGCCAAGATCAGCAAAGTCATACACAAGGCCTTCATTGAGGTTAACGAAGAGGGTGCCGAGGCAGCAGCTCTTACAGGTACTATTGTCTAAATGCTTACTGGACTGCATTTTTTTTGCAACATATGATTTAATCCCCAGCTATTCAAGCGGTTTTGACTTGCTCTGGATGCGGGCCCCCGCAACCTTGGGTGTTTAATGCCGATCATCCGTTTGCCTACGTCATTCGCGATGAGGACACCATTTACTTTCAGGGACACTTCGTAAAACCATGAAAATATAGTACCATTTTCACTGGGACAATCAATTTCCAATCAACATATCTAGGAAAGGAAATTTAAATTCAATTCTAAAAGTAATTAAAATTATATTTTCCCTAAAAAATGATATACACTTATATGAGGAACACCTACATTCCTACATTTAAATCAATTGCATGCCATTCAAGTGGCCATAACTGCTTTGCAGCCACAAATCATCTTTATCAGTGACTATTATAGCAATTACATCGCATACAAATCGCAACGAGTTCATCAATTAGGTTTGTATGGTATATATTATATAGTTTCGGGTGCAAACAAATTTCGGGAGATCAAGAGATCAAGTTCCAGTGACACGCTAAACACAAACAATACCATGTCGCGCGGTGGCAATTAAAAATGGCTGGCCATAATGCTTCGTAATGCCGTCATTTAGAGCGGTCTAATGGATGGGCCTCTGGTCAGTGGTGGTTCAACAATCAATTGAGCCGAACGATCACTGATCGCAGCAGCCAAATACCGCTTAATGCGCAAATAATTGTGGATTTCGGAGAAACGGGGCTAACCAGAGTTCCATATAAATAAGGGCTGGTCTAGGCAGGAGTTCCAAAGTTCTTCCAAAACTCCGACGGTACAGAATGCTGCGAGAGATCTGCTTTTTCCTGCTCATCTGTGTGGCCTTTCAGGCTGCCTTGGCTTGCGTAAGTAATTCGTTTTAGGATTATGATAGGTCCTAACCTCTGGATATATACATCATATGTATACCCCTCAGAATGGCTACAAGGCCAAGCTGGTGAAGATGGAGAACTGTGCTGGCGAGGATGCCATCATGACGGTGGGCAGCGACTTCAGCCTGAGGCTGAACAAGAAGTGCGAGCTGGTTCCCTCGGGCTGCATCAGCAACAAGCCCTTCGGCACCGCCGTGGCCAAGTTCAAGGTTCAGAAGGACGGCATCGTGATGAAGGAGGGCAAGATCGACCTGTGCGCCGCCATCGACCAGGCCTCCTCCGAGGGCAAGGACATGCTGAAGCTCTTCGGAGCCCCCTCCTCCTGCCCGGTGGCCGAGGAGAAGGTCTGCGCCAACGACCACACCGTGGATCTCAGCAAGTACAAGGCCATGTTGGGCATGGCGCGCGGTCACCTGATCATCGATTCGGAGGTCAAGCATGACACAGTAAGTGGTTAAATATACAAAAAAAAAAATACCAAAAGGTTAGAAAAGCAAGCCAAAATGGTATTTTTCGGTATTTTCGGTATATTTTTGGTTGTTTGATAGCTATATTATATTGTATTTTATTTTCTTACCCCCCATTTCTTTTGTTTCTTCCAGGGCAAATCCTGCTTCCATGCCGAAATCGAACTCACCAAGAACTAAGTGTGAAATCAGACACGAGTCCTAAGTTTTATATTATGAGTCTTGCAAACCTTGTAGTTGTAAGTACAAATGCAATCAAAACTGGTAATGAGGTGCACACAAAAAATAAATATTCAAAAAATACCGAACAAAAAAATGGTTTTGAGGTTCTGTGCTTTATCTTCAAAGTATATCACTTATACGTACTGTTGCCTTAGACCAAACGTTTGTTTTGATCTAGATGGCGTAGAATACAACCAAACTCTTGTTTGCTCTCTTTTAATTGAACAATTATTCAAGCGGATTCAATCAGTTGACAAGGTTAGAAATGATATCAAAATTCTAACTGTCATACGTGTCGTATAACCAATTTATATGGTACATTTAAGACCACATAGGCGGTAATTCAACTGAACAAATATCTTTTAGCTTATGAATGCATTTTTTGCACAAAGTTTCTATTTTTCGAACCACCCTAAAGTTATAGAAGGTAACTTGGCATAAGGTAACTTTTTTCTATAGGATAGGGAATTTCTTTATTTATTAAGAAGTTGGTGAACGGATTAAGGTGTATCCAATAATTGCCATTCTGTCCGTCCCTGTCGACTAACTTTATTTTTCTGGTCCTACGAAGTGCCCCTGAAAGTAAATAGTGTTCTCATCGCGAATGACGTAGGCAAACGGATGATCGGCATTAAACTCCAAAGGACCCGGAGGACCGCATCCCTTGCAAATATTCATCCTTTCAATAGCTGAGGGTTAAATTATATGTTGCAAAGGATGTAGTCCAGTAAGCAATGAGCCAATAGTACCTGTAAGAGCTGCTGCCTCGGCACCCTCTTCGTTAACCTCAATGAAGGCCTTGTGTATGACTCTGCTGATCTTGGCTCCTGAAGACTTAACCAGACCTCCAAAATCAGCAGCACTAGTAAATGCATCTCGTATGCCCATCTAAAAGTGTAAATTATAAAAGTGACCCTATAAAAATCAGGTCTTACTCACCGGCGCAAGAATACCCTTTAGCTCTGAGGAAAATTCGATTTTAAACTTTGGTAACTTTAAAAGTACATTCCGATTTGGTAAGTTTATGGAAAAGCCCGCCATTTTCTGCTCCAATTCTGGCAAGCCATCGAGTTTTTCCGGCAAATAGATAACCATGTAGAGGCTTGAGTTCCGGTAAGGAAGCTCGATCATTTTAGAACCCAGGTCGGGAACATATCCCGCCCTAAATGCGCCCGATAGCGACATCATCTGGACAGGAACGGTTTTTTTGTCGGAAGTTCGAAAGTCGGCCTGTTTGGTCCTTTTAGGGTCGAATTCGTACTGCCACTGGCCTTTGAAGTAAATTGCATTCAAGAGAATCATTACCAGATCCGAGGTTATATCTTCTTCCGAAACAATGGTTTTGATCCTGCTGCGCGTCTGATCGTTCACCCACTTATTGACGATCGAGGCGGCTTTACTAGGATCGCTTATGCTGATAGCCTCCGCTTCGGCCTTAAAGGAGCCCTTGACCACTTGATTGAACTCCGGAACTATAGTGAAGCCATTATTTACGTATATACGGTTGGCCAGATCGAGGATGGCCACCTTCTCGCGACCTTCGAGATTTGTCAGAAAATCCTTATATTTTCGAGCCACTTCCTTTTTATCCGTGGGATGTTTCAAAACGTCCTTCATTTCTTGGGCTGTATTTCCCCCAGCTCCCATGTAGACCATACTCAAGGCAATATCGACGGAGAGAGGCGACGAAATAAGATTCTTGTTGGCATTGTCTTTGGCCAAAAGTTGGTACAAATCATCAGTGAATCGGCCAGCAACTGACGTTGCCAAAAATATCAGATCTGTGAAAAATATATTTTAATAAAACTTTTTAAAGGACTTTTTTTTCACTTACATAGAAACTTCATTTGGACCGCTGTTCAAAACTTAGGGAAGATACAGCCTATATATACCATGTGTACTAATCAAATTAGATTTGCCATCGAGGATTATAATTTAATTAGTTAAGTTGGATTAATAATTGGATAAAATAATAAAAAAAAGCAAAATGGTGAAAAAATATTATCCCCTTAGAAATTTATTTATATCTTAAAATCGAAGACTTTAATTTTTCGTCGACGTGTATGTAATCCAATTGATTTGTTATAATCTTTAAAATTTGGTTTTGCTTGAAATTTTAAAAGGTTCAAGAACATTTCAGAATACTCTTTGAGTGCAGGCTATATTATAAAAAAGCCTGCCCTCGGCCCCTCTATATGAATTATCTAATTGCAGAGAATTAACAATTTTCAACGCAACATAGCATGAAAAATGCAATTTTAAATAATAAAATATTACATTTAAAGCTTTAACATAGTTTTACACCATCCCAGGGTAACATCTAGTACTGAATCCGTTTACAAAGGTTGTTCTCATAAGTATTAAATGAAAACTTCGTGGCTTTTTAAGTAACTTCTCCTTATTTATCAGCGTATACAATTGTATCACTCCACAACTCCATTGGCTTACAATAATACTTCTGAAACATTTAAATCCTAGGGTTAAACCGAGAGTACCGAAGGTAGTGTAGTTAAGGTGAGGAAGCTGTTCTCGAAGGTCGTCTTGGGCAGAGTTATGATTTAATTGGAAGCGCTGCAGTTCCGGGAATAGCTACAAATCTGAGTTTATCTCGTTTGTCAAAGCAAAGACATTAGCCAATTATATCTTAATTTATCGACCGCGAAAGTTTTCAACAATATCTCGCTTTTAGCAATAAGGTAACTTTTTTTAAAGGAAAGGAAAGTATTTCTTATATTTATAAATTGTTTAACGGAGTAAGCACTCCTTTCATTTACTTTATTATTCTGGTTTTACAAAGTGTCCCTGAAAGTAAATGGTGTTCGCATCGCGAATGACGTAGGCAAACGGATGATCGGCATTAAACTCCAAAGGAGGCGGGGGCTCGCATCCCTTGCACTGCCTAACAAACAGGACAGCTGCGAAATATATGATATTTGTAAAGAAAGTGATCCACTAAACAAACCAATAGTACCTGTAACAGCAGCTGCCTCGGCGCCCTCTTCGTTAACCTCAATGGAGGCCTTGTGCCTGACTTTGCTGATCCTGACTCCATTCTTTCCTACTAGACCCTTAAAATCCGCACTGCGACTAAATGCATCTCGAATGCCCATCTGTAGGCTTAAATTATAAAAGTGACCTCATACAAATCAGGTCATACTCACCGTCTGGAGAATACTCGCTAGCTCTGAAGTGAGTTCGATTTTAAACTTTGGCAGCTTTAAGTTCACATTCACCTTTCGAAATCGTGGGCGGAAGACTGCGATCTTTCTCTCCAATTCTGGCAAAGCATCGACTTTTTCCGGCAAAAAGATGAGCATGGACAGGCTTGAGTTCCGGTATGGAAGCTCGATCACTTTGGCATCCAGGCTGGAAAAATATGCTGCCCTAAATGCGCCCGATAGCGACATCATCTGGACAGGAACGGTTTTTTTGTCGGCAGTTCGAAACTCGGCCTGCTTGGTCTTTTTAGGGTCGAATTCGTACTGCCACTGACCCTTGAAGTAAATTGCGTTCAAAAGAATCATTACCAGATCCGAGGTTATATCTTCATCCGTAACAATGGTTTTGATCCTGCTGCGCGTCTGATCGTTCACCCACTTATTGACGATTGAAGCGGCTTTACTAGGATCACTTATGCTGATAGCCTCCGCTTCGGCCTTAAAGGAGTCCTTGGTCACTTGATTGAACTCCGGAACTATAGAGTAGCGATCGTTTACGTATATACGGTTGGCTATTTCGAGGATAGCCACCTTCTCGCGACCTTCGAGACTTGTCAGAAATTGCTTGTATTTACGAGCCACTTTCTTTTTATCCGCAGGCAATTTCAAGACGCTCCTCATTTCTTGTTCTGTCTTTCCCCCGGCTGCCATGTAGACCATACTCAAGGCAATATCGACGGAAAGAGGCGACGAAATAAGATTCTTGTTGGCATTGTCTTTGGCCAACTGATTGTACAAATCATCAGTGAATCGGCCAGCCACTGACGTGGCCAATAATATCAGACCTGTGGGAAAGTTAATCAGATTTTTAAATGGAGAAAATTTGTTACTTACATAGAAACTTCATTTGGACCGCTGGTCAAAGCTAAGAAGAGATGACAATCTAGCTTTTTATATACTTTGATCACTAATCAAATTCGTTTTGGCATTGAGGATTATAATATAATTGTTTCAGTCGGATTACATAATGTAAAGAGTAACAATTACGTAAGAAAAGCATAAAAAGAGATATTTACAATTAAATAAAATATAAATAAATGTCCGTGTATATGGACTGAAAACCAATGTAGGATCATTATTTCAAAGGGATAATAATTATTTCCCAAAATTATTATTTGTATACCCTTGCAGAGGGTACAATGATTTCAGTCAGAAGTTTCCGACCCCCATATTTTCTTGGCTAGACGAGTCGATTTAGCCATGTCCGTCTGTCCGTTTGTCTGTCCGTTTCTAGGCAAAAAAGTCTTTCAGTTTTAGAGCTATCTTGATGAAACCTACCCAAAACCTTGTTTTATTTATATTGCAGGTAGTATATATGTTGGAATAAGCCGAATCAGACAACTATATCCTCCGATAGGAACAATCAATTGACATATTAACTTTTTCTCTTAGGAATATCAATATTTTAATATTTCAGAATTTCAAAAACCGGAAGAATATATCAAATAGAACACTTCGGCTTGCCGAAAATAAAATTAAAAATAAAGTAAATTCCTTTACTGCTCTTAAATACCGATTTCCAATAAATACCCAATGAAAAAGTCGTGGTTATATTAGTAATTTCTATTTATATATCAGTGTATACAGTTGTAACATTCCACAAAACTCTCGGCTTACAAATATACTTCTGAAACATTTAAAACTTAAGGTTAGTCCGATACGAGTAGCGAAGGTAGTGTAGTTAAGGTAAGGAAGCTGTTCATCGAAGACCGTCTTGGGCAGAGTGAGGATTTGGGTGGAAGCGCCACAGCTTCAGCAGATTCCGGAAAAGCTATAGTCGAACTCGGAGTTCTTCTCGTTCAGACGACCCAGATACTGCGAGTGCTTGATCCCAAAGCTGTAGGCGGGCACATGGGAGAGGTTTATCTATGGGTAAAAAAAACACAAGAAGATTGAAATCAAACACGATTTAGAACTACACTGATTAATGGTATATTTAATTCCAATAATTTTCTTAATCTCAAATATTGTCGAAGGGCTTGTCCGCCCGATTCTCCAACAAAAAGCGAACACACCGTTGCGGAACTGTGACCGGCAGGGGTTTCTTGAGATACGGGGAGTGAAGGATGCCAAAGGATATCGCCGGAGGCGAACGTTTCTCCCAGTACTGTGGGTGAATCAGGTGGTGGTCAAATACGTATTATACGTAAATACGTAAATTCAGAAATGGAATTTGTCACACACAAAAGGGCAGAATACATGAAAAATTCCATTTCTTAACTGTAACATAAAAGCCTTTAGAGATATTTAACTTACTTCAAATACTTTTATCTTAACATTCTTAGAAAACTTTAGAAAACTAAAGAATGAGTTGAGGTAGGACCTATTCTTAAGGAACATGCACGATTTTGTAGGGTTTACAGAAATGTAGTTTCATAACTGTTAATAGACCAATAACTTGAATGTGTTCCTTATTTTAAACACTTAGTATACGTTTATAACAAAAAGTATGGTTTCTTTATCCAAATATTCTTAGGGAACTTTTCAGAATTTAAGTATTTGTCAAGGATGGACCCAGTTTATGGAATGCATAACATTTTAAGAGGCTTACAGACATGTATTTTCACAAAGAAATGCATATAAGAACCTTTTCTGTTATATAATCCATATATGATGTGCAAACAGACCCATTAATGATCTGTTTCTTATTTTAAATAGTTATTAAACTTTCAAGATAGAAGCAAAGTATAAGGTATGACTTAGTTTTAAAGGTACATATAAAATTAGTCTTGGGCTCCCCCAAACTTACCTTCTCCGGACAGTGGGCTCCTGGTCCGGGCTTCGAGTCCTCGCTGCCCATCTTGTATTTGCCACGCATGGAGTAGACCGGTGGCTTTGGCTTGACCACCGTGTACTCGCCATCGTAGTATCCGGGTCCGGGGAAGATCATCACCGGGATCAGCGGAGGCTTCTCGCGACCCGTGATCGTGTAGGCCGGAGCCGAGCGAATCTTGCCCTCCTTGCTGCTGCCCATGACGGTGGGTATTTTGTAGACGTTAGGAGCTGTCAATGATCGGGAAATCGGTGTAATTCATAGGTTAAAATAAAGGTTTATCGGGGGTTAATTCAATGGCTTGTCTCTTTGGCTGGTGTTTGAATGGTTCGGGTTAGTTTCGGGTTGGATAAGGGTGATCTTGACATGACGTGCCTGCAAAAAAACACACGGAACGAAAACGGCAGACACCAACAATATGAGGGCTTCACGCACAGTTAACGCTTGAAAGAGTAAGTGATTGGCCTTTTTTAAATAAAATAGTTACTTATTTTTTTATACCAAATTCACAAGGTAATATTTTATCATAGAGTGTCCAAGTGTATAGCACAATTGGTTTGTTTATATTTCTTATTAACTTAAATCACTCATACGACTGGTATTTCCAGTCATAGCTGATATTTTTCAATAGATTCTGTTCCGCAAAATAGCTAATACAATCTTAGTTCTTTCGAGCATGTTGTGTATACACACGTCTTATCATTTATTTTAATCCAGATTATTTGATTTCACATGAAATATGTGAGCTATGGCAACAGTGCGTATGAGTAATATTTTTCAAAATATTTAAATTATTACTAAATATCATTATAATGGAAGATAAAGTATATTTTTGTATGTTATTATTAATATTTTAACTATTAATTTAATGGAAGATTTTTTTTTTAATTTTCCTTGTTCTTAAAACCACTTTACTCTTTGAAACGTTCCCCGTCTGAAGTCACTCCGGGTTACCTGATAATCTTCTCCTGCACGCTGCTGGCCTCCACAGCGTACTTGACCGTCTGCATCCTCGAGGATTGGCCGCTGGTCACGATGGCGCCATCTGGATGCACCACCCTCTGGTGGCTCTCGGCCGCCGCCTTGGTGGCACTGGCATCCGACTTACCACTGGTCACCACCTTAAGGTCACCACTCTCCTGCTGCCCGTGGGCCACCTGCTGCATCGTGTAGGCCTCCAACTTCGAGTGCTTCACTTGGCCATTGCTCAGTGGTGCCGGTGGTGCGGACTTAAGCTCTTTGTGGGTGCCATTCACCTGCTTGGTGGTCTGCTTTTCCTGCAAATCAGGCTGCTCCACTCCATTGACAAAGGTTCTTGTGGTGGTGGTTGTGGTTGTAGTTGTGGTGCTGTTGCCACCAGCATTGTTGGTGGTGTTGTTGGTGGTGGTGCATTCTGCATTGTTGCGTACTGTGCGGGTGTTTATTTTTGTAATTTAAAAAAATAATAATAGTAAATAACTCATAAATAAAGCGGTGCAAAGGCCTTTATATAGAAAGCACTATATATTTTACAAAACAGGTAAAGCGTTTCAAGTGTGTTTAACTTCAACCACATTCTTTTGGAATGTATTCCAACATTACTACCTATTTAAAAAGGAAGATGATAAAAAGTTGGCGTTTTAAAAATGAAATTAGCTTTAGTAACTTCAATGTAAACTCTTAAAATGTGTAAATTATAACAAGTCTTGGAGTTCCTGAGAAAGATTTTTCTAAAAAAATGCAAACTTGTTTTCGAGGTAAACTATTATGAACTAAAATTTCATTTCAATTTTATAAATTTGTATAATATTTCTTTATACGTTGCTGATTTCTGATCTAAAGATCTTTTAGACTTAGATTATTTAGATTATTGTTCATTGTGATTTTCATTGTGTTCTGTTTCTGCAGTAGTTTCTTTTGATTCTGAAGTTGATTCTTCATTTTCTGAACCCTCTGTTGTTGATTCTTCAGTTGTTGCTGAGGATTCTACCTCATTTGCATCTGAATCTGTCTTATCTGCATGTTCTGTAGTGGTTGTAGTGGTAGTAGTGGTGGTAGTGGTTGTTCTCCTCGTAATTTCAGGACCGGGTGGATTTACAGGAGCTGCTCCATGATTCGAACCCTGTTGCCATGGTTTCTTCGGGAGTTGCCTAAAATAGTGACAGTCATCTTGGCATGACTTTTCCGTGTGGTACTCGTTTCTCCTGTTTACCTTGGTACACTTGGTATATACCTTAAAATAAGGGAAATCTTCACATGCTACGACTTTGATTTAGAGAGTTTAAGTACCGGTACACAATCTAAGAGCGTTCGTGAAAAGGTATAAAACGATCTAAGAGGTCCTTTACAGGTCTTCATCCTGTTTTTCACCATACAGTTGCCGTTATACGCTGGAAGAACGCAAGTCGGGAGTGATCTGATTGACAATGATGTAATCAATTAGGCTTACACATGCGCCTGGCGCCGAGTGCAGGAAACCAAATAACAGCAAAAATGGTCAAACCTAGTATTAACTTCATGGTGGTCTACTAAAAAGACTGTTGCCTCTCAAAGTTGTCATTCAAATTACAAAAAAATCACAATTAACCACGCTTCTACCATGAAAATTATAACAACCAAGTTATTTGTTCCTACTTTTATTTTTACTGAATCTAAATCGTCTTACCTAAAAAAATATATCTACACCCAACCAAATTGAGAACTTATAAATGGTAAAATCACATATTTATTTATTTTCTTTCTTGTTTCTGAATAAACGTTCTTAAAATCAAGAAGAAAATACTCGTAATTTGGATTTTCAACGTTGAAATCGAAAAATTCAAGATCAATTGTCCATTTGTTTTTGAAAGCAAAAGTTCTTGAAGTCAAGAGGATTGTGTTCTCGAGTGGATTTTTCAAAAGGGAGCGATCCTAGTATCCTCGATTTTGAATTTCGAGACGGGAGTAGTCAGTAAATTATATGAATTTAAGATTGAATTGATTTACTTTCTCCTTAAGAACGACGGATCAGTATTTTTTCTGGGTGAATAGAAATAGCATGGAAAGTTGTTGCACCAACCTTAAGTAAGACACTTGAAACACTTTAAAAAGTAAGCTAGCGATGACATGATGGATGGGTGATCTTGTGGATTCTTACCGGGACTGGCCAGGCGGCGTTCGCGTCTTTGGACAATGCGATCTTCGATGTAGACACCTCTGGGTTCTAGTGATTGGTGGGTATTTACAGAGGATCGAAACGGATGAGAGCATGGCCAGAAAACCAAGGAATGTGTGCGAGCAAAAACATGGAACAGAAGAGAACAACAAACACAAAAACAGATCATACACAACCGGACGGAGGAGTTCAGAGAATCCGGCACCAGAAAAGCGGAAGTGGGTGGGTGTCACCTACCTGGAAGCGATGCAGTTGGCACTGTCTTTAGGCCAAAACTATAGGCTGGCGAGCTGTCCAGATTGCACTGCTCTGGATGATAGTGACCGGGGGCTAGAAGGGTCGGGTAAACATGCAATACACAACAGCAACATGCAACACATGGATAATCCAGGTGGAAGCCACTATTTACCTGGGGAATCGGTGGTCATGCGGATGTCCGACTTAGTGCCAAAGCTGTAGGCGGGTGTGAAGTGTTGTGAGTGCTTCTCCGGCTCATAAGCAGAGGGTGCTGCAAATGGTACTGATGCTCGTTAAGAGGGGTCTCTAATCTTGGGATGCAGTTCCTCAGCAGGGGAAGAGATCTGATAACTTGCCTGGTGTATCCGAGATGCGCTCCCTTCCCAGTCGCATGCCAAAGGTGAACGCCGGCGTACTGTCCACCTGGCACTGCTCCGGATGGTAGTCACAGGGAGCCGGGGTCTGGCTCACGTGTTCGGCGGCGGGACGACCTGCAATTGTGTAGGCGGGTGTATGGTCGTGGCGAACTCTCTCGGGGGCGTAGTCGCAAGGCGCAGGATGATGGTGCTCCGTTTTGGGGTCATATTTGCCGCCAAAGCTGAATGAAGGTGCTTGGTCCAGTCGCACCTTCTCCGGGCTGTAGTCCCCAGGTGCCGGAGTGTCATTGGTGACCCTAGGATCATGCTTTCCGGCCATTGTAAAGGCAGGATTGTGGTCTTGTCGAACCTTCTCCGGAGAGTAATCTCCCGGAGCGGGAGTCTCACTTGGTTTATGGAGATCATGACGACCGGCGAAGGTAAAGGCGGGGTTGTGATCTTGCCTAACCTTTTCTGGATGATAGTCCCCAGGAGCTGGTGTATTGTTCTCCACCTTCGGATCGTTCTTACTACCAAAGCTATAAGCTGGAGTATGATCTAAACGAACCTTCTCTGGGCAATAATCTCCAGGTGCTGGAGTGCCATTTGTAAGCTTTTCGATGTGTCTGCCAGTCATTGAGAAGGCGGGATTATGATCCTGTCTAGTTTTCTCGGGGCAGTAGGCCCCCGGAGCGGGAGTGCCACTGGGCTTGTGAAGATCATGACGGCCAGCAAAAGTAAAGGATGGATTGTGATCTTGCCTAACTTTCTCGGGATGATAATCACCAGGAGCTGGGGTATGGTTTTCTATTTTGGGATCATTTTTCCCAGCAAACGTATAGGAGGGTGTATGATCTAGACGGCACTTTTCGGGACTATAGTCACCAGGGGCAGGAGTATCATTAGAGACCTTGGGATCATGTTTGCCCGCCATCGAGAAGGCAGGGTTATGATCTTGTCGGACTTTTTCTGGAGAATAGGCTCCAGGAGCGGGAGTTTCGCTGGGTTTGTGCAGATCATGACGCCCAGCGAAGGAAAAGGCTGGATTGTGATCTTGCCTAACTTTCTCAGGATGATAATCACCTGGAGCTGGTGTATTGTTCTCTACTTTAGGATCGTTCTTGCCACCAAAAGTGTAGGCAGGTGTGTGATCTAATCGAACTTTTTCTGGGCTGTAGTCACCAGGAGCTGGTGTTCCATTTGTAAGCTTATCAATATGTTTGCCAGCCATTGTAAAGGCTGGGTTGTGATCTTGGCGAACTTTCTCGGGGGAATAGGCACCAGGAGCGGGAGTATCACTCGGTTTTTGAAGGTCATAACGACCAGCAAATGAGAAGGCGGGATTGTGGTCCTGCCTTACTTTCTCAGGATGATAGTCACCAGGAGCGGGGGTATTGTTCTCCACCTTCGGATCGTTCTTACTACCAAAGGTATAAGCTGGAGTATGATCTAAGCGAACCTTTTCTGGGCAGTAATCTCCAGGAGCTGGAGTGCCATTTGTAAGCTTTTCGATGTGTTTGCCTGCCATTGAGAAGGCGGGATTATGATCCTGTCTATTTTTTTCGGGATAGTAGGCCCCTGGAGCGGGAGTTTCGCTGGGCTTGTGAAGATCATGACGGCCAGCGAAAGAAAAGGCGGGAATGTGGTCCTGCCTAACTTTCTCAGGATGATAATCACCTGGAGCTGGTGTATTGTTCTCTACTTTAGGATCGTTTTTGCCACCAAAAGTGTAGGCAGGTGTGTGGTCTAATCGAACTTTTTCTGGGCTGTAGTCACCAGGAGCTGGTGTTCCATTTGTAAGCTTATCGATATGTTTGCCAGCCATTGTAAAGGCAGGATTGTGATCTTGACGAACCTTCTCGGGGGAATAGGCACCAGGAGCAGGAGTTTCACTTGGTTTTTGAAGATCATAGCGACCAGCAAAGGAGAAGGCGGGATTGTGGTCCTGCCGAACTTTCTCAGGATGATAATCACCTGGAGCTGGTGTATTGTTCTCTACTTTAGGATCGTTTTTGCCACCAAAAGTGTAGGCAGGTGTATGATCTAATCTAACTTTTTCAGGATAGTAGTCACCAGGAGCTGGTGTTCCATTTGTAAGCTTATCGATATGTTTGCCAGCCATCGTAAAGGCAGGATTATGATCTTGACGAACCTTCTCGGGGGAATAGGCACCAGGGGCGGGAGTATCACTTGGTTTTTGAAGGTCATAGCGACCAGCAAAGGAGAAGGCGGGATTGTGGTCCTGCCTAACTTTCTCAGGATGATAATCTCCTGGAGCGGGGGTATTGTTCTCGACCTTGGGATCATTCTTACTTCCAAAACTATAAGCAGGTGTGTGATCTAGTCTAACCTTTTCGGGACTGTAGTCCCCTGGGGCAGGGGTACCATTGGAAATCTTCTGATCATACTTGCCACCCATCGAGAAAGCAGGATTGTGATCTTGCCTTACTTTCTCCGGAGAGTAAGCTCCTGGAGCAGGGGTCTCGCTGGGCTTGAGAAGGTCGTGGCGACCAGCAAAGGAAAACGCAGGGTTATGATCCTGCCTGACCTTTTCGGGGTGATAGTCCCCAGGGGCTGGAGTGTTGTTCTCTACTTTCGGATCGTTCTTTACCCCAAAACTATAGGCGGGAGTGTGATCTAGTCTAACATTCTCAGGACAGTAGTCACCAGGAGCTGGTGTTTCGCTCGTTAACTTTTGGATATGTTTTCCAGCCATGGAGAAAGCTGGATTGTGATCTTGACGAACTTTCTCGGGAGAATAGGCACCTGGGGCAGGAGTTTCACTGGGCTTCTGAAGATCATGACGACCGGCAAAGGAGAAGGCGGGATTGTGATCCTGCCGGACTTTTTCCGTATCATAGGCGCCGGGTGCTGGTGTGTCGCTAGTCTTGTGCAATTCGTGGCGACCGGCGAATGAGAAAGCGGGATTGTGATCGTGCCGGACTTTTTCGGGGCAGTAGTCGCCCGGTGCCGGAGTGGAGCTCTCGAGGCGCTGCTCGTGCTTACCGCCGAAGGTGAAGGCCGGCGTTCGGTCGTTGCGGTACTTTTCCGGGGCATACGAACCGGGCGCCGGGGTCTCGCTGACGGACCTCGTTTCGGGGCGTCCGGAGAGGGTGAAGGAGGGCGTGTGGTCCATCCGCACCTTCTCGGGATTGTAGGTGCCCGGCGCGGGCGTGTCGCTGGACTTGGCGAGGTCCATGCGGTGGCCAAAGCTGAAGGCAGGCGTCCTGCTCAGCACGCACTTCTCGGGTTCGTATGCTCCGGGGGCTGCAAGAGAGTGATTGAGGTGGGAAAGTTGAGGGTGGTGGGCTATGTACTCTTAAACTACTTATAAACTCTATAAGCATGAACAACAAACATTTCTGGTGAAGATTGATTGAATGTGTATTACTCGATTGCAATGGGTTCTTCAACTACTACAATGGTTGTAAATTAAATTATAATTGATATGCTTTAAAACAAATGATTTACATACATACATACAATGGTTACAAATTAAATTGTATTATAATAATACAATGGTTATAAATGAAATCTTAATTGAAATGATTTGAAACATATCACAAGTTTAAACATTATATTATTATAATAAGATTTCAATAATAATCATAATAATATAATCTAAATAAAAATGCTTTAAAACATTTAGGAAGCTAATAAAATATAATAATGAAATACTAAGCATTTTGGAAGAAATCTAATAGTTAGGTACTATACTTCGGAATTTACTTGGTCTTTTCTTTTTAACATCCGACTTTCAGTGAAATTCGATTGGTTAGAAATGTTGCTATTTAAAAGTGAACTTCTAACTAGTTATGGTTTATTACCAAAAATTTGAAATCAGTCAATTATATGACTTATAAGATAACAATCCTTTAGTATGTTACTAATTAGCTCAGATATCATCTCAACACTATGCATCAGTACTGTATGTATTATAAGAAATATACATTCAGTGCTGATGCATAGTGCTATGTAGTACAGCGTATTGATAGGTAATGATAGGTAATATCTGCTAATAACTCACCAGGTGTACAATCGACAACGTCATGGGAGGCCTTTCCGGTGATTGAGTAAGCGGGTGTAGAGTGTAGTCGCGACTTTTCGGGGCTGTAGGCGCCGGGTGCTGTCAAAAACATGTACATGTGTTCTCAAAGCCAATTAACTGCTTTTAGACAAGCCAAACCATCCTTACCTGGAGTGTCGCTGACCTGAATGTGTTTGGTTTTCAAGCCGAAGCTGAAGGCGGGAATGTGTTCTTGGACAACCTGCTCGGGTTTGTAAGTGCCCGGCGCTGATAAAAGTGCAAGAGTGGTGAAAGCATAAAGCAACTATCAACTATAATCTCTGGGTATTCTATTACCAACCTGGCGTATAATCTGGTCTCTGTTCGTGGTGTTTGATGCCAAAACTGAACTCCGGCGTCTTGTTGAGCTTCACCTTTTCGGGACAATAGGCGCCAGGAGCTGCGGATGGGATTGATATCAGAATATTGTTTCCAGGGGGCTTTGAGGATTCAGGGTTTCAAAACGGGAAGCGCAACAATTCTATAGATACTGTCCAATTGGGATGGCTTGAGCTTGAGCTTAGTGCCTCGATTGGGGATAGCAAATAGTTACAGTTAAAGAAACAATTACAGTTACAGATATAGTTACTTGGGGGTTTTTTCTGGAATATTACCTGGTGTGCCCTGATCGTGTTCGATTTTAGTTCGTCTACCGAAAGTGTAGCGTGGCGCATTCTTTTTTGATTGCGTGACCTTTTCAGGGCAATAGCTATTCGGAGCTGTTAGTGTTAATAAAACATAAAAATTGGTACGTCCATTGTTTTAGTCTACTCGAATCAGAACTAGATGTCTACACTAGGTGGTCTACGACTAAAGTGGGTGAGTTGGGTGGTTGAAAGATACGCATTATTAGTTCGGGAATTAGTGATGAGGTGGGTTTGAATTGGGCTAGTTATTATAATAGAGATATTAGAGAGCGGAGCTAGACCAACACCAACAGACAGTTACAGACAGTTAGTTGGGTTACCTGGATTGTTAACAAAGTACACGTTAACCTTAATGCGAAAGGAGTATCGTGGGGCTCGCCGCTTGACGACATCAAGTGGCACCACTTGATAATGGTTGGGACCTGAGTTTCGATTTTGCCATGGCAATCATTCATTAAAAGAGAAGAACGTTTCAAATTAAAATCAAATCAGCAACAAAAATACCACACACAAAATTACTGAAACACTAAAGTAACACATATACAAAAAACACTGTGTAGTAAGAAGAAGCTAAACAAATAGGGAAAATACCAGCTGGGAATTGGAACAGAACTAATCATTAACAAACATATTTATGACAAATGAAAAACCAGATGTTCCCGTTTCCTTTTAATTAAAATTCTGTTAACGGAAATATTGTATGGATTTTTAAAGAATTAACTTGTCTGATTCACTTTGATTCAAGATCAAAAACAAAGTGGGCGGAGTAATAAAGACATCGCGAATTACTCCTACGTCATTTTTTATCTTAGTTAGGAAACCAAAGAAAGTTAAGAGAAGGAAATAAAAAATAAATCTAATAAATCTACTTTTAACGGGGACAAAGAAGCTTCCCAAAAATAGAGATAGCCATTTCTAGAAGTTTATAAACCGAAAAGAACAACTTTTAAATATCTTTTTACCAATTTAATACTTTTAAAATATAAAATGCAATATATACAACTTTAAATATTATTCAGATATAATTGTGGACTTTTAAGATAAAAAAGAAAATAAAACCAAATAAGCAAGAAACATTCACGCACATAACAGAGTGTCATAACTACGATCGATTCTAAAGAATATCAAAAGATACAAAGATACAGAATAAGAACACGAGAGCGAAAGTATCTACAACTACACTAGCTACTGAGATACAGATAGAAAGTGGAAGAAAGGGGGGCGGTAGCAACTTACGCGCTGCCGGCAGGAAGATACGACTGGCATGGGTTCGGATTAGTTAATGAGTTCGCTTCTATATACAATGATGCTCCATGATTGATTGATGATTTCCTTGATCCGCGCATGCAACAACAACAGCAGCCCGAAACACACCGAATTCAACGCCAAATTCAAATTCAACTTCAAATTCAAATTCAAATCCAACTCCAAAATCCAAGTCCAAAACACCATTCAAACACCAGGAGGAAAAAGTCTGAAACTCACCTGGAATCTGGAAGGTCTTCAAGGCTGCCGGTCGTTGGCCAAAGGTGTATTTGGGCGTGGCATCGATCACCGCCTTGGCAGCCGGTACCACATCGTACTCGCCGGGTCCGGGGTTGGAGAAACGAGTGAGTTCCTTGGGGCGACTCTGCAGAGTGGCTGCTCGGGGATAGTCCCGACCCTTAGCCCTCATTCCTGTCACATTGTATTGCGCTGGACCAGGTCCAGAGGTAGCGTACTTCCCGCCCAATTTGTGACCAAAGGAGTACGAGGGAGCAGCCTTCTTCTTCGAATCCGGAACTTTGCTACCTATTTAGAATATATGATACTTAGGTCTTGCAGGATATTATGGTAATAGTTATTTACAACTGGACTTTCAGTTACAAATCCCGTTTATAATAAGTAACTTAGTAAGACATTAATTATATTAAATGCACATTATTTAAAATTTAATTGAATATTTTTAGATGATAACATAAATGAGATATAAAATGTTTTTTATGGTTATGTTGATGGTATCAAAGATCATATAAGCCAATCTATGAAAACTAGGATAGTCTTTAAACGTTTATAAGATATATGATAAGTATTAATAAATACACTTGCTAAATTTATTGAATTATACATTAATGGGTTTTCAATAGGGATCATTATAATATATCTCTTATATGGTTGGGATCAAAAGATGTGATTACATCACCACGAATAATTTAGGGTTACAGTTAATGTATAATGTTTTTGAACTTACCGATCAACGTCGGAAGCTGTACGGTGGCTGGACCTGGATTGGTAGTTTCGGCTGCAATCCTACCGATTCGGACCGTTGGAGTCCAAGGACGCTGCTCCACATTGCCGCCCATGTTAATTGGACGAATCTTACGGACGCGGGCGCAGGGTCCCTGATCCTTGCTCTTTTCCGAAAAGTTTACCTAATAAAATAGAAATGCAATGAGTATATCAATCCTTTAGGTCTTATTCCCATCAAGGCACCTGGTTCATCTTGCTGTCTTAAGTTTAAAAGGTATGGAAATGGGGGAGCTTACTCCCCGTAAATATAAACTCTAATTTTTCTTAACTCCCCCAGCGGTGACGTTTACACATGTGAGTGGGTGATAGGCTTACTATCCTATACTAAAATCTATAGTTCGACCCCCAAATTTGGGTAACCTAATAATCCAAATTCCGCCCTACTCCAAACTGCCAGTCGATGACACAAAAATCAATCGTCTGGGCTCTGGGTGTTGTTTCGAATTTTCTGGGCCAATTCCGTGGGGCGGCTAATGGCTGGGCGTGTGGGCTTTCTATATACTATATACCCATGAAAGAAAGTCTCAGGGGGCGGGTTAGAGAAGGGGGCGTGTCGTGTGGCGGCTGTCACTCTTTTTTTTTCTCTGCAGTGGCTGTTGCTCAGCAGTATTTGTTGCAGGTTGTTTCTTTTCGAGCCGTGGATTTGTTGCGCCGCGTGAAAGACAAACAATGGCAATAACTTTGCGGTAGGCTCGGCAGACTAAGTTGACAGTGGCAGGGGTTGAAAGGGGTTTTTATAGGGTTTTGCTTACCAAATATAATTTTAAGGAACTGAAATATATTCAATAATTGTATTTAAGGGCTTACAAAGTGTTTTTATATTAGGAGTTAAAGCCTATCAAATATTAAAATGAATAAAAACGGTTTTTAAATATTTTTATTTTACTTTTAATCTGCTAAAAAATAAAGTAGGCGATTCAAATATGTTTAAGAACTGTTTAAATTTCAAATCGATTAAAGTTAAAAACCTAATTATAAGAAAAGGTTAGGGGATATCAATTTAAATATTTTTAGTAGCAAGACTCGTTAGAAACGGATGATATACCTATATTTATGCATAAATAAAATATAAAACGAAATAGTAAAAGCATATACAATTAAAAACTATCAAATTATAATATTCTTAGTAGAAAGGCTTGGAAAAAAATGGTTGGGGATTGTATAAATGTATCTATCTGTATGTATCTGACTCACTAAGCCTTAACCAAAAAAGAAAACAAAGTGAAATACTTCCATGGAAAACTGTATGATACATATGCTTTTTCTCCAGCCATAACAAAAGAAATAATAAAAATGTTTCCAGCTAGTGAAGAGTTGCTTATAATAAATATTTTAATGAGAACCCCCCTCAACAGCATTTCTATTCCAAAAACCGGCTGCCCTGGGAGACGACCTTCTTTTCACAGCTCGGCACACGGAACCCAAAGTGTTGAACATCGACAGGCGGAACAGACCTATTGGAAAACAGACGGTGCCGGCTGGTATCAGGAGTTACGAACCATCTGGGAGGGTAATCGATATGGGGCTGGAATCGGAATTGAGGGTCTCTGAGATTTTGGGGGTTCCACAGGTACAATACATATAAAGACCAGGGGCCTGGTCAACAAGGTTGCGCCCCGAATCGAAACGAAACGAAGTATGCTAAGTGCTAATGTTGCCCATTTTGTGGGGCATGTAAGCCAACAAAACGATTACTTTTAATGACTTATGGCCGACAATTGCATGACGGACAAGGAAGGCACAGCCAAAACTAAAACTAAAACCAAAACAAACTCAAACTCGCAGAAGAAAAGCGAAGCGTGCCACTTCTTTTGGCCGTGAAAATTCGCCAGCCTTTGTAAATAATTACAACTATGTTAGGGGGCGTGGTCTGGCTGTTAACAGGGCCAATAAAGCCGTCGCTCTCCTGCCAAGAAGGAACTTTGTTTTTATTATTTCGCCGCCTGCCGCACTTGTTACTTGCCACTTTCGACTCCTGACCTCGCATGCAATTCAAAATCGAGAAAAAAAAACAAAAAACATTGTTCTGTTCGCAAGGCAGTCATCAGCCGGTCTTATATGGCAACTCTTACATCACCATCATGAGGTTAGAAAGCCCACACACCAAAACCCCATGTTCAATTGCTGTTCGAGGCCAAGATCAGCTAAGAAAACTGAAAATCTAGCGGATGAATCACGGCCGGCAGCTGAGCCAACAGAAGTCAGACATCTGTCAGACAATGGATCTTGGATCACTGCCTACCCTCAGATACATTGCATTGAAAAAGATTACTTTAAATAGACAGAATGGTATCGACATAAAGATCAATATGCGGGATTTTTGTATGGTAATAAGGGAAATGTTTTGGTAATACATTAAAAAATAAAAATCTGCTAAGATGCACATAATACTTTATAATTTAAAAATTTACCACATATGGTAATAATAGATTTTTAATACAAACATAAGTTTTAAAGAACATTACATGTTAGGTAAACCCTTTTATATCTTTATCTTTAGGACTGGGTATACCATTGTTTTCCAATACTATGACTTTCAAAATGTTTTGGTAATATATTTAATAGATAGAAATCATTATTTTAGACCATAATACAACTGAGATTATTAATTCAAACATAAGTTTTTGAGAATAATCTATGCAGAACTGCAACCCCTTTTTTTCAATTCTATTCTATTCTATTTACGATATCTTTAGGATTAGGTATTCCATAGGTTTCCAATATAATGACTTTCCTTAAATCACCTTTTCCTATATTCGTTTATAATATCATCATATTATATTTCTAAAAACCTTGTGATTTTTTCCCGAGTGCAGTTTAAATTGAATAATGTTTGGGGCGCCCGGCTAAGAGGTCGCATTCAATCAAGTTAATAGAGCGCTAGCTCATGCAATAAATTAGCATGTGGCGATCTGATTTCAGTAATCAAATTATAGATGGTGATGCTCGATAATTTATGCCCGGGGGTCAGCGTGAAAACCGGCTATAGAGTAATATACCAACGCCCACTCATCTGACTTTCAGTCTCCCTCTTGGCTCTCATGATTAGTAACAGAGACACTGATTGCGAGAGTTTTGCCATTTTTCAGCATTATCTTTATGACCTTCAGTGATTTGTTTGTGGTTCTTTATTTTTATTTGATTTGAATTGGTATTCACACAATTGACCCGACTGTGGACCCGTGACGACAACAACAAGTTTAGCACACGTCAGCTTTTATTTGTGATATCAACTTCAAAAATATAAATAAACACGCAAGACCCAGATGATATGAAAAGGGAAATACCCTATTGAAAAGTTAATAAAATATACTATCAAATATTTTATTTAACTTTTAATATGGTAATAAAATTGAATATAAAAAAATGTTAATAAAAACTTTCTTTCATTAGAAAGAAAACACATAAAATTCAATTCAGTGATCTTATAAAGGTTATACCCCCTTGCAAACCCTATATGGGGTATCTCTATCTGACATGATCAACAATCACTCACTGAAAACGTTTTTATTTTCTTTTGACTTCATTTCACGCTCTCCAAATGGCGAATTAAATATGAGCTCATTCCCAAAATTTAGACAATTTCCAGCCGACCATCTCAGGGGCTTTTACGCCCAAATACGGCGGCAGTCGTTTCCTTTAGCCCACATTGAGTTGTCCGAAAAAGCCAGTTCGGAATTGGGTTTCCAGACGGCAGAACGACCCACGCAGAGCCCCAAACTCCATGACTCCGCGATCTATACTATACTATACTATACTATATATATATAACCATAATTCGTGTGCTGTCTCAATTAACTATTGACTTTTTCGCCATAGACAGTGGCGGTGTGTATAAGTTTAATTAACAGCGAACAAGTGAGCAGCCGGCAAAAGGCCAAAAATCAAAAACAAGGGGGAAAAAGAAAAACATGAGAATCATAGCCAAAACATTTACGAACCTCACTGAACTCTAAAGTCTGATACGAAAACAACAAGACCCACTGACGTCAGCTGTGTGAACTAGTTTGCGATCTCCAAATCTAATTAAGTTGCTCAACATTCTGCAGCGAACGTGTTCTGGCTGTTAAAAAACCAAGAGAAAGCTGGGAAATGAGGCGGGAAAAATTGGCAAACCTTCTCCGAACAACTGGAACTCGGTTCTCAAGACGCAGCACTATGAAAATTGCCAAATGGCCTGTAATAATTACCACGACTCTTTGTGGTAGATTTAATGGGACAATCGCTTCGGCTTCAGCGATTCCGGGAACCTGAGATCATAATTTTGCATATTGAAATACATAAATACCTGTTGGATCATTTTATAAATATTTATTTAGCGATTACTGCATTTCCCAAGCCCCTTTCTCTATAATCTTTTCTTTACTTTGTTATTTTTTGTGTATGGTTAACGCTTTTTTGTGTTGTGCCTGCCATAATCAGTGACTTTGAAAAATGAGCTGAGCTGAGTCGACCCGTCGACCGGTTATTAGAGCTGATGTCATGGGTGCTTTGGGGGGTACGAGTACCAGGGCAGACATAGAGGTATCCGACTTCGCCAAGAACTGCGGAAGGGTTACATCTATGCCAACAAGTGACATCAATACGAGAGTGTCTCATTGACTAAACAATGGGGGCGAGCACTGCGGATTTGGGGGCGGAACAGCTGACTGGATTGTGGATAGTGGGGTTAAGCCTTAACCCCTGGCTGTAGCCCTATGCCACCAGGAAATGCCAATAGTCAGACAGTCAATGAACTTTTGGGTCGGGTCGGGTCAGCACGCAATCCACTGGCTGTTTGGGTTTCGCGGGGGGGATACCTCAGACTTGGTTAACGCCTACTCCAGTTTTATCCTTACCGTAAGCTAGTTCTTCGATTGGCAGTATCTCGTCCTGCTTCCGCTAGATGGTTTTGATTTCCTTAACTTTCTTTTGCACAGTAAAAAACTTCACCTTATCGCGGTTTTGATAACTTCGCTTGCTTAAAGTCCTTTCTAGGATTTCTTGTGATTTTCGGGGGTTTTTCAAAACATCTGTTCACTGGTCGAGATATTGCTATTTTCGTTGTTATTGTAGTTGGTTTCGTGGCTGATTTATTATTTCGTTGATTCGTTCGTTGATTGGGTTAAAGTGACAGCTGCTTTTTGAGTGTCGTTCTGTGACTCGCGTTTGAAGTCTATTAGAACTTTGGGTTTTCAAAACAAATAACACTTTGCTGATTTATTTTCGGCGATTGGCCGCCGTGAGCTGGGATTATTTGAGGTGAGAGAGCTAGAACCGCACTCGAGGGCTGTCGAACAGAAACTGAGGCACAAAGTCTCTAGCGCTCGCTTTTCGTTTCAAATTCACCACGTAACGACTCCAAGACGTAACGTAGGCTTTTGCATGGCACTTAACAGCCCAACGTAAGAGCTAACATTAGATTTCCCTGCTATCTTTTCAGGGGATTACGTTTCTTAAATGGATCTTAAGCTAATATATAATCTCTTTACAGCATTCGGTTTTAGTTTTAAAGTTTTTATTTGTATGAATCTTTAGACTTATGTTATGTATTATATTAATATTATAGGTAAGGATAATATAAAATACTTCACTCGACTTTTATAATGATTATATCCCAATATTTCTTACACATTTTAAATTTATATAAACTAAAAAATATATATATATTCCTTCTTATGTATGTTGGGTTAAAAAACCTACAACTTGTTCGCATACTATCGAAATTTTTATGTTATTCCGGGTACAACAAAATCTCTTCTAACCCAGTTGGCATTGGTTTTCGCTTTGAGTATATTTAAAAAAATAATAAAAAGCCTTCCAAAGAACAACATTTCTAGATAAAAATGGTAAAGAAAATTCTGGGAGTGCCAACGGAATAAATTTCCCCATCCAAATAAATCTTTTCCAAGATTGAATGCCTTTTAATTAGGGTTTGGAGCTCATTTGCATATTGAGAAAGTCGAATCTAGGGGAAGGTCGCCTTACATAGGCATTGCCCCCGGTCTCCTGCCCACAGCTCAATCGTATCTTAATGGCTCATTGACTATCTGTAATTTGACTGGGTTTGCGCTCATCGGGGAGGCCTATTTATGGCGGTGCTCACAACAAAAAGTGCCGCTTGATTGTGGTTATGTAATGCGAGACTGCGATCTTGCCTCCGGCGAATCTAAATATATATATCTATTTGCCCCGCCGACCCACCAATTTTGCACCACTGCTGCGGTGGACAGACAGACAGCCTTCACCCACACACGTGACTAATGGAGCGTGACAAACTCTTTGCACAAAAACCACGATTGTTTTAAAGACTAATGAAAAAATGAAAACTAAGATAATGTAATTACAGAATTGTGTTACATATGTTTAGTTGTTTTTTTATCCTTCTAAAATAAACTTAATTCCTGCGGGAACAATTCTAATACATTTAAAATGATTAATCTTAAAAAATATGTAAAGTCAACCAAGTAATGTCTATGAAATTGCAAGTCTTATGACTTGAACAAAATTAGTAACGTTTACTCATTACATGACAAACAGTTTATAGTTATTTTTACGCATCATTTATTTGCGATAATATAAAACACTGTAACAATCGATATTATATTTATACCATTTATTTAATGCCCGTAAAGTTAGAGAAATTAACCACAAAAACTGAATGCATTTTTGTAATTGTTTGGGCACTCAATCCTGTTATTATAAATTTAAAACTTACCTACATATTGTTTTTTTTTTCTAGTTCCTTATTAAATTGTATCCCAATAATAGGCAATAAAAGAAGCAAAAACTTTTTTGAAATCCAAGATCCAAAACAAAGATCGTTTTATTTTTCAAAAGTCAACGTAAATGTGGCATAATTTCGGGCTAAAAAGCAATGTTAAGTATAAAATTTTTAAAAATAAATAAAACAATCTTCAAAATTCATATCCCGATTTAAAATTCTGGCTTATAAAATTTCCAAAATTCACTCACTCCTTAGTTAAACGGGTTAGAAAGACCGCAACGCTCCTCAAAGCTGGCTGTGATATGAATATTGTTAGCAACATTTCACCGCCACTTTGAAGACAGTTGCAATCTTTACAATCTTTATAATTTTTTAAAGAACCCCAACTATTCATAAAACATCGGAGACCAGCAGTATTTTCGGTTCTTTTATTAGCAATATCACGTTGATGATTTTTGGTTTTGTTTTATTTTTCTGGGAGTGGGCTTCATGGCAATAAACGTATTTCGTATTCGTATGTTTATCGTATATATATATAGTTCTATATGCATAGGCGCAAGAAATCAACTAAGCCGCGTATTATTAGTTAGTAGTGTAATCTGTAGATTGCATATGTTGACCTTAGTCTGGATAGTGGCTACTGCAAGGATTTGGCGGATGGGGCGGATTCGAAACCGCCCTTCGCCCAGCGAGAGGAATCATCTTAGATAGACATTACCATGTTTTGTGGATCGGCTAATGCTAGATATAGTCGTACGAAGGACGCTTACTGGCTACCACATTCATATAAAGATAGACAAACCTTTGCGGTTTCTGTGTATAGTTCGAGTCTCGTATCAAAATGCTGTATCAAAAAGTTGTACAAAATGCTTTTTTGGTTTAGCTATTTGGTGTTTCGGCTTGATTTGATGTTTGATTTGCTGTTTCTGTTGGTGTCAGTTCTCGCTATCTTGTATAGTCTGGCTATAAGTCTATGTGAGTTGCTTCTATTTTGGTTCTGTTCGAATTCTTCTCTTCTGATCTTGGCTCGCAAACATTTTGGTGTGAAACCGAGTTCTGGGCTCGCAGTCTCCGAATTTCGCAAAAATTAATAAAAATAAGAGGGTGGGAAAAGGTGAGATAAATGTTCATCGTACATTTTATTTGATTTTCGGTTTTTCTTTTTCTCTTTTGTATTTCTGGTTGCTTAATCAAATGATAAAATTAATTAAGTAAAACGTTCATAAAAATACGGTAAAATATGTGTTTAGATATATATCTTTATATCTCGTGTAAGCATTAAAAAAAACGAAAGAATTCAGTTAAAATATAAAGCATATCGTATAAATTTCTCGTATTCATATCGTACTTGATTCATACTTTGAGCGTGGGAGAAGTCATCGCAAGATCAAAATTAAATAAAAATAAAAATCGTCTGCAAGAATTAAACAATAAATCACAAAACTTAAACTAAGCACGTACAAATCTAGTCTAAAAATTGTTTATGTTCCTTGGCGAACTTATCATCGTTTCATCATCCATCTTCGGTTCCTTCATCCATTTTTTTATCAGTTGTGCAAACATTTCGCTTTCGACTTGAGGCTTACATTTAATATTTAATGCTTAATCAGTTTTCTTGTTTGTTTGTTTGTTTGTTTCTATCATTCTTTAGAGATAATCATATTTTACTTAGCACAGTGGCTCGCTATTTAAAAAAGCACATTTAAATATCATATCATATGCATGTATGTATCGTTATAATTTCTTAATTCGCTTTCGGTATGTGAAATGTATCAAAAATTTGACTATTAACTACAGTTTTCTATACTTTAATGCATTTCCGTTCTTATCTCTTTCAATATAGTTGCTATATATGTGACTGTCAGTTGTTGCGCTTGGTATCATCTCACCGACTAACAGTTAACGCGTTCATAAACATAATGATATCATTCGCTCAGCTATAGCTCTATCAAACAATCCAAGTATGCCATAATCGTATGGGTTATCGTGCCGTAATCGTAAACTGGCCTGCGCTTAAACATAAATCTTATGGTTCATATACATGTATGTATAAATCTAAATATATATCTTTCTTCTCGCCGCCTTGGCCAGCTTAAATCTAATGCCTTTAACGTTCTTCATAATCTTAAGATGCTTCTTGTTCAGTGCGTGTTGATTTCAGGCGATGGTTGCCGCAATCTGGTCCGCTGCTTAGTCGGTTAGCGTCTGGGCCACAAGAGCCAGCTGATCCATGAGCACACGGAAAGCGGGACGCTCCTCGGGTCCATGTGACCAGCACAACTTCATGACCTATTGGAAAATACAACAAAATTTAATAAGAAAACTCTTTTTTGTCAAATGTGCTATGTGCTACATACATCATAAATCTCCTTGGCACACGACTTTGGTTTCTCTAGGATAATTCCGCGCTGCACACGCTCCACAACCTCGGTGTTCTTTAGGCGACCATATGGCATCTTGCCGCAAGTGAAGATCTCCCACATTAGCACACCTAAAACAGCAAACAATTGTTATTAATAAGTCATTGAATCAATGAAACAATCCGGGTCAAAGACTCACCGTATGCCCACACATCGCTCTTGGAGGAGAAGCGCGTGTAGTTGAGCACCTCGGGCGGCGCCCACTTGATGGGGAACTTGGTGCCGCCGGAGCTGGTGTACTGATCGTCCAGAACATATCGGGCCAAGCCGAAGTCGGCCACTTTGACCACATTCTCGGAGCCCACGAGACAATTACGGGCGGCCAGATCTCGATGAATGTAGTTGTGGCGCTCCAGGTAGGTCATGCCCTTGCTGACCTGTATGCACATATCCAGCAGCAGACCCATGTTGCCAATCAGGGTCTTCTCATGCCGGCGCAAGTAGTTCAACAAGGAGCCATGCTTCATGTACTCAGTGACAATGTAGATGGGTCGGTGCTTGGAGCAGACGCCATATAGCTGCACCAGATTCGGATGCTGCAACTTGGTCATCACCTTGGCCTCCTCGATGAAGTCGTCCTCGGACATGGTGCCCTCCTTCATCATCTTCACCGCCGTATCGATGGATCCGCGCCACTTGCCGCGCCGCACCACACCAAACTGTCCCGATCCCAGCTCCTCCATCAGCATCAGCTCCATGGGATGAATCTCCCATTTGTCGTGGGACAAGCCCGCCGTCGGTGGAACTGGGCGATCGCAGGGCGAGGATTTGAGTCGGCAGGCCAGGCCGCCAGAGTTGTGGCGATGGTAGTTGATCAGATCCGGAATAGTCTCGCAGCAGTGCTTCTCGCTCAAATAATACTCGCAGCGGGCATTCTGCTTGATGTGATAGTGCTTCACATGCGACTGTGGACTGTGGTTGGACCATGAGATTAATATTCGTATTTGCATGAGTTGGTTTTTCTGAGCACACTTACACTTTGGTATGCAGCGATAGTGTGTAGAGACCCTTGGTCGATGACTTGCGGACCACGAAACAGCCCTCCTTGTCGCCCTGCTTGAGCAGGGACTCGGCCCTCTGTCGTGACATGTCGCCCACATACCATCTAGAAGGAAAAGATCATGACAATCATTAGATTCGAAACTTGACTTTT